TAGTTTTTTGTCTATCACATTTGCTATGGTTTAGTTTTATTATTCAGTTTCCTTAGTACGGATATATTTGGTTTATACATACAGAAGGAATATCAGTAGGATTTTTAAATAGTTTTCCGATTAATAGTAATTTGTATATTATTTTACCTGTGTCCATTGGTATTTCAGTGATTGATGCTCTGTTATCGTCGATTGCATCTTGTTTTAGTTTTATAGTTGATTCTAGAATTTTGTCTTCGTTGTTTTTGATACTATCATTTTTTTGTGGTTCAAGTTTTTCTGCATATAATTCGCTCATCATGTATGGTTCTTTTGATATAATTGGTTGAGTCTCCGTTTCCACTTGATTTGATTCTAATGGTATTATTTCTAATATAGTTGGTGATATATTAAATTTAATCGGTTTTATTTGTATCATCTTAGATTCTGTTTCATTAGTAATTAGTTCATGTACTGTTAGGTGTCTAAATTCGTCTAATTTTATCTTTGCGACATCATCCGGAACTATTTTTTGTATTTTTAGTTCATCTACGTTTGATAAATGTCGCGTCTCTGTTGTTATTAGTGGTCTCAATTCTTCTGTAGATATTGACGCTTTTGATGTCCTTCTTACTTGTGATTCATGAAAATCGTTTTCTTTATCATGAGTTAATACTTCTGAAACAACCACTCCTGTTTTTGCTTTTTCAATTGAGACTGATGCATTAGTTATTGCTGGATTTTGTTCAAGTCTTATGATTTGTTCTTTTTCATTCACAATTTGTTCATTTTGTATTAAGCTTTCAAAATTTTCCGTCAAAAGCTTCGCTGTGGAATATGTTGTATTTTTTATTTTTAAATTTTCCTCTTTATACTCAGGTAATACAGTTGAAACTACAATTTCCGACTGAACATCTTCAAATATCACATTTGCGGTTTCGTCTCTCGGAATTTTCATAAGTAAAGTACCTTCTTTTTCAGAAACATTTTGTTCACTATTTGTGATTGCTTGTAAATTTTCTGAAGTAATTTTGGCTACTGAACTTTTGCGTTGTGGTCCAATAGTAAATTCAGTCTCTTTATCTTCACTAGCAACATTTGAAATAATGATACTAGATTTTGTTTCTTCTAATAAAAGTTGTGCTTGACTCAAATCAGTTTTCTTTAATCCTTCAAGTAATCCTTCTTTTTCAGATACTTCTGGTTCTGTTATTATTATGTTATCAAATGTTTCAGTTTTAATCGATGCTTTTTCATTGATACATTTTGGTTTATCTAAAATACCTTCCGATTCTGATATATCAATCTCCGTTTGTAATATACTTTTATACGTCGATTGGACTTGTAATGGAGTTGCAGTTCTATATTCAGGTTGATTCAATATAGGTAATTCTTGAACATTCACACTAGTGATAATTTCAGTAACATTTGCAACTGGCTGTGTTATTAATTTAGAGATGGTAGCAGTTTCAGCATTTTGAATAGGGGTTATCAAATCACTTTCASTGTCAATAATATTCGCTTCAGTCACCTGCACATTAACATTGCTTTCGAATAATATATTGACCATTTGTTCTTCTGGTACTATTGTTGATTCAAGATTCATTTCAGATTCATTTATCGTATTTTCCGAAATAGTAAAAACGTCAAATGACGATTGAGTTAATGATGCTTGTTTTTCTAAAGGTTTATTTATTGCTAATGGCAGTTCTTTATCGTTTGAGACGGTTTCAAAAACATTGAGTGACTTATCTTCTTTAAATTTAATCTCTGCATTAAATTTGTCAAATTTAATCTTTTGTGTAAACAATTTTTCTTTTTCTAACGCATTTATTTCAGTTGATATCACTGTGTCATRTAGTTCTGATTGTGAAATCAATGCATGATTATTATCAATGCCGGGAATAAATACATCACTAGTTGTAATTGATGAAATGATTTCTGATACTTGCGGCGCTTTATGTAATTTCGATAAAGATGTAGTAACTTTTTGTGATTTCTGTCCATTTTTTATGTGYAACTTTTCATCCTTATCGTCCGTTATTACTTCAGTTATTATTAAGCTATTGTTAGGTATCATTGTTAGTTCAGCTTTATTTAAAATTTGTTCAACAGGTTCAAAATTTTTTTCACTCTCTTGTACAGTTGTTTCAGTTTGATATATATTCGTAAATGTATCGAGTACAATATTAGCCGATTCTTCTTTTGTTTTAAGCTTCTCTAGTGTTCTTAAATGTTCATTAGTTAATATAATAGTATTTTCAGCTGCTTCATTTGTTAAAATTGATTCCCCAGCAGTCATTAATGTTGGTAATTCCGGGGAAATATATTTTTCTTCTTTATCTTCCACAATTACTTCAGTTATATTTACGCTTTTTGATTCTTCGATATTTATGTCAACTTTAGATTTTTCATAGATCAAATTAGAGGAGAATGAATTTTCTTTGTCCTCTGTTATAGTTATGGTAGACTGAATACTTTTAAATGTATCTTGTACTGGAATAGCTGTTGATGATTTAGTAACAAAATCTTTTAATGATCCTAAAGCAGTATTTGATATTGTTTCTATTATTTCAGCTATCTCTTTTCCAGAGGTTATTTCTACTTGAGCTATTTTAGTTGATGGCATATCTAAATTTTTAACCTGTCCTTCCATTTCTTGAGTTATAATTTCGGTTACAGTTTTCGTTTCTTTTTCATTTTCTACGTTTATTTTGGCAGTAGTAAGTGGTGGTTTATATTCCTTTTCAAATATCTCCTCTCTATCATGACTTATATTGTCAACAATCACAACACCATGGACAACTTCCTGAGATGGTATTACTGTACATGTAACGACTTTTGGAATTTTTAATTCACTCGTGCTATCTTCTGTTTTTATTTCTGAAACTCTACTAACTGGTTGACTGTCAGTTATATCAATTAAAGCTTGTCTTGTGATTGGTTTTGTTAAAGGAATATAGACAGATTCTTTTTCACAGGGTATAATTTCTGTTGTGTCAAATATGTTAATAGTATCCATATTAATGTTTGCCACTTCATTTTTCTGGTTTATTGTCACTTCCAATTCACCTTCTTTTTCTAATGGACTGATTTCCAATTGATTGATTGAATCAAAAGGAATTTGGAATGGTTTTAAATATATTTCACTTGGCGTAGTGGTTTTTAGATCGTTCAAACCCATTTGTATAATTTTTTCTTCAAATTGTGCAACTTTCATAGGACTGTATACCGATGAACTTTGTGCACTTTGTTGAATTTCTTGCTTAGGTTTTTTCAGAATACTTTCTGTATCTACTGATATAGTAGAAGTTACATTCAAACTTTGATGTTCTGGTATTATTTGCGTAACATGTTTTAATAGTGGCGGGATTGGTTTTTCATGAGTAATTTCAGATTCTTCGGACATAACTTCGGTTACTAAAATTCCTAATAATGGTTCAAATTGTTTCTTAGCACTTAATGGTTTACATGCAATTTCAGTTAACGGAGCAATATCGTCAGATGTTTCTATTTCTTCGATCATAACAGTCTGATTTTCGTCAAATACTATATTTGCTACTGAATCTTTATTCACTTCAACTGAATTTAATGTTTTCTCTGATTCATTCGTAATAGTCTCTGTTACTTCAATATTTTGGTCCAATTGAATTGTAATACTTCCAGTTTTTAAAACATTTTCAACTGCTTTAAAAGGTATTTCACTTTCTTGATAGAGTGTTTCAGTAACTTCTATGCTATGAATTTCTGTAAGTTGTGGAACTATAGAAGTTATTGACGGCAATGCTTTGACAGTTAAATTGTTAGTAGAATTTTGAGAGATCATTTCAAAACTGGATGCAACTTGTTGAGCTTCTGACATATCACTTACTGCAATGTGGCTTCTTGGTAAAGACGTTGGAATTAAATCTGATTCTGATTCTCCTACACATACTTCGGTTACATCTAAGGTTTGCTCCGTTTCATACTCTAGAGAGGCAGATTTTTCAGTTGATTTTGTTGATTGATCAAACGGAATTTCAGTATCTTGTAAATCGACTTCTGTTGTATGTATACCTTCCAATAATATATGTTCTGATATAGCTTGTTGTACAGTTTCTTTTGTAACTTTTAAGGGTTTAACACACTCTAAGGTGTTTTTTTCGGATTTCTGTGGAACTTTATAGTCAATTAAATTTGAAACTTTAGTTGCATTTTTAGTATTTAATTTATCTATTTTAAGTTCATTTTCTTTATCATTAATTACTGTAGTATTTATTATAAGCCCTACATTTTCATTTAAACCATGAACGGCAATTTCCATTTTTGGACGAACTAATTTAAATAAATTACATTCTGGCTCTTGAACATTTACTTCAGATATTTCAATACATTTGAGGGGTTCTATTAYTTGACTTCCTAATTTTGTTGAATATTCAAAATCATCTAACACTTTTTCACAAATTGAAACATTTGTTTCATTAACTTGCAGTCCTTCATGGCTTAAAATATCTTGTTCAGCATGGCAATAATTAGGCTGAGATTTGTCTTTAAGTTGAGTTTCTTTTTCATTTGGAAATATTTCAGTAACCATATAACATGGTGAATTATCTTCAACTAAAACATTAACTGTTTTTTTTTTATGTCGTTTATTATCATCGAATGCAGATTCTGTCTCCTGTGTTATTATTTCAGATATTTCAACGCCATGAACTTCTATTGCTCCAATAGTTTTTGCCGATTTTTCTTTTGGAAATTCTATTTTTAATTCTTCAATGGGGCTTTCAATGATTGTCTCAAATGTTTCTGCGACATCTTGTCCTGTAATTATAATATTACTTTTCTGCTCCGTAGGTATACTTTCAATTATTAAGTTTTGCTTGGTGTCAAGTTTAACTTGTTCAGTGATTTGAATACTCTTTACTTCTTCATATGTGAAATCAGCACGCTTCTTTGAAACTATCTTATCATCCACTAAACCTCCTTCTTTTTCAAGAGGAGCCGTTTCTAGTAACTCGATTGCTATTTGAGTACTTTTAGATGTCAAAGCATAAACTGGTTGTGGTGTAAACTCATCAAAATCACAAGTAGAATTGCATACCATTGTTTCTAACGTTTCCCGACATTCATCTAAGATAATTTCTTGTTTGTCCAATGTATGTGATGGAATTTCGTTAGCTTTAAAATCTAATTCTTTGTCTTGCGTTAAAATTTCAACTACACTAATTGGAATATCTAATTCACTAAAGTTAGTTTCAGCTTTTTTTAAATTCGGCATCACAAATTCCGATAGCTTATTTTCTGAATCTGTTGATATTATTAATGTCGTTTCTATACTATGAAACGGTTTTTGAGATATATGGGCAACTCCTGTTATAGGACTCTTATCTGTTACTGCCTCAACATTTTCACAGGTCATGATATCTTGAGCTTCAAGAGATTTAAATGGAATAATATTAGTTTCAGCTTTTTCTTCTCTAGGCACAATTGAATCAAAAATATCTTCTGGTCTATTGTCAGAAGTTATTTCAGTAACCTCTATTGCTTCATCAACTATTAACGATGTATTTGCCAAACATGGTGATGGCAATTTATGGTTTATCATTATTTTTTCTTTTTCAGATATGTTGGTTTCGTACAAGATGACACTTTCAAATGTACTAGGTTGATGATATGCGTGCAATTTAGAAACCTCCGGTTGTATCAAATCTAAAGTATAATCTCCAGTCACAATTTCCGAGCGATTAACCGCCTCAATTGGAACAAATTCAGTAATAGCGTTTTTAGTTTTAAACTCTTTTTGTTCAATTGAAATTTTTTCTTTTTCATAAACAGGTGGTTCTATAATATTTACACTAATTACTTCATCAATTGTAACGTTTAAGGTTTTTGGCTGTTTTTTTTCTTTATTATGTAAAACATCTTCCAACTCATTAGTAGATGTGACTTCTGAGATAAGTGCTTCATATGGTACGTGTTTGAGTACTGCTTTATCATTTTTATATTTTTTTATATTCAATTTTTCAACGGCATCATTTGAAATTAYTTCTATTGTTTCAGCTACATCATGACCAGAAAACTCTGGTACTGCGCATACATTTTCAGGTTGACAATCAAGTGATAAATTTGATTCTGATTCATAAGCTGAAACTTCCTTTACAATAATACATTGGTCATCTACAAAATTAATGTGGGCTGTTTTTGATGTGTTACGATTATCGTCATCAAACGTGTTTTCTAGGTTTGTAACACAATTCTCCAGTGTAATTTCTTCAATAACTACAGCTTGTAGAGAGTGAGATGGTACACTTACGGTATTGTGCAATTTTGGTTGTACCTTCAATAACAAGCACTGTTCTTGTTCTGCCGCAATTGTTTGTTCTACAGTGATACTTTGAATTGGGGCAAATTTTGTTTCCAGTTTAACTGGAGTTGGTTTAGAAATTTCGTTTAATGGACTATCATTTTCGTGTACATCAATCTGAGATATTTGTTTAGCTTCTAATTCCTCAAATTTTGGTTCCGCCTCATATGTTTTGTAGTTCAATTGCTTTAATAAATCGGTTGAATATTCATCAGGTGTAGTTTCTGTGACAATGTATGAATTGTTTTCGGTAAAACTCGTATGTGGTAATAATTCTAATGCTGATTGTGATGTAAAATTTGATTCTGTCTCGTTAGGTATAATTTCAGTTACATCCAGCACTTCTAAGCCAAAAACGGAGCTTTCAATTTGTTTCATTTCTGGAACGAGCGGAACTTTTAAATCAGATTCTGCTTCATTCATTTCTATTATTGACGAAGTACACACTTTATTTGGATTGTTTATTGTTAGTTTTGCAGTATGTGGTTGAGGTAAATGAGAACTGAATTTTTCTTCATTTTCTTCTTGATCAACTGAATTTACAATTATACTTGATTGTACGATTATATCAGAAATTGCGAATGATTTCTCTGGTATTTTTTCTTTTTCTAATTTAGTTTCTTTTTCTTGTATGTTTGACTCACTGACTTCAATATATTTTTTGGGAATAACTGAAATATCTGCTTTATATGCAGTTGGTGGTTTTATTCGATTATACTTTGCTTCTTTTTCTGCGGATTCTATTTGGAATGCGGTTATAGCATTGTTTGATGGTACTATTAATTGTTTAGCGATTTCAGTGGGCACAATTATTTCTGGATAGTATTTTTCTGGTTGAATTTCATAATGTGATTCACTGATAACTAATTGTTCATTTAGTGGATATTCAACTGAAGGCTTCACTAGTGTTGGTTTAAACACGTCTTGTAATTGACTTTCAGTATGTGCTTCATTAACTTCCACGACATTGATACTCTCAAGTTCAATATATTCTTGTGTTGCTTTTTTTTTCTGTGGTATAAATTCTGGCACTATTTCACCTTCCTTTGTAGAGGCAATTGATTCTGTAACTACTTTTTGTAAATGTGAAATTACAGTAACATTAGCTTCTTTATTTTGTGGTTTGTACTCTGGTCCTTTACCTAGACTTTGATTAGGATAAATTTCAATAATTTTTACACTTTCTTTTGGTATAAAATCTTTTATCGCCATACATGGAATGAATTCAAATGGTTTAACTATTTCTTCAAGAGGCGATTGAGTGTCAGGATTATCTGTTGAAAAACTTACATTACATTCAAAAACAGAATTTGCTTTATGTTTCTTTATTTCCAACGTTTCTTTTCGCATTTCTTCCTTCTCTTCGTCTTTTGTTACAATGCTTTCTGCAGCGCTTCTTGTTATAATTCTAATGTGTGCTTTTTCTGGTAGATTATTATAATCAGTTGACAACTCAACAGCTTCTTGCTGAGCGATGGTTTCGTTTAAAGTTTTTGATGTTTTCAGAATAGTTGGAGATATAACAGGATACTTTTCTACGTCAAATTCGTATGTTATTTCTTCAGGGATAATTTCTTCATCAGGGTTTGATCGTTTCACTTTAATTTTTTTTACCATATTTGTTTCTTTTGTGATCACTTCTTCTTTTTCCTTATCTTCACGGGTAGTTATATAATCTGTCTTATTTTTTTGTTTTATTACTTTTTCCGTTTTAATCGGTTTATCTTCTGATACATCAATTATAATATTACTGTTATCTGTGATTTCAGTGATTTTAATATTGCTATCATCTAGCATGTTCTGTACTTGTCCATCGTCTGTGGATAAACCAAAGAGTCRTCAAATAAATATACTAGTTATTTGATATARCATCAAGTTTTGAACAATCCAATAACAAAAACAAATTTTAAAAAAAAACGCAGAAGATGATAGATATAGTCGAAGAAAATACTGAAGAAGCGTAATATAAAAAAAATAGCATAATAACAACAAGCACATAGACAAAACGAGAGCATTTCATCACAATACCATGAGCACATTTCCTATAAAAATAACACAATAAATATATTATTTATTTATTTATTTATTCATTTGATTTAATAATCTTTTAAGATGTCGATATACCTACCAAAGATTATATTTAAACTTGCAACAATGTTTTAATTGATAAAATATAACCAAAGAATATTAAAACTATCTCAAAGTTTTAAAAATGCAATTTAATATATCTACTAAGGTATATGAGATTTTATTTTATGAAAATGTTTATTAAATATTAATATGGAATGTTTTAAGTCCATTTAACGATATGAGATACTAGTGAAAGCATGCAGTTTTGTTTCCATTATTAAAATGAATAAGACAAAAATATTTTAAGAATCTAATTATACAAAAATAATTAGAATTATAAGCTCTATATTATAGACGTAGTTTTTAGTGTTTTTTATTGTTAGCAAAAACAAGTTAAAAAATAAATAATCTTTTGCTGTATTTTGTATGTTAATGATTCAAATAAATATTTAGGATTACATAAGCACGTCATTTTTTTTAACACATTCAACACTGCAACGCATCTTACCGTTTTGCTGCTGATACGTTTACGCGTTAATTTCTAATATATTTCAATGTAGTTTGATAAATGTAACTGTAAATATGTGAAAAAAGAATTGTCCATACTCCATGAGAAACAAAAACAAAAAAAAAATTGTATCGTTTTTAAAATCGGTTGCCGACATTACACATACAATGAGCAATGACGGGTAAACGCGTTGCTTCGTTGAATCTTGAATGTTTAAATAAATATGAATTATGATTAGTATTAGATAAGTCACATAAGATAGCACAATATGTTAATTTTCTTAGTTAATAAAAATAACTAGACTTACCGTTAGTATAATTAAGATTTATATATCACCAATAATCATTAATCAAAATACTGTCATTAAGTAGCATTAAAATAAGCTGCGTTTTTATTTAATGATAATAACTATTTAAAATCATTTAAATAGTTGACTGAAGCTGAAATATTAAAGCTAATGCGTTGTACAATATTAACAACATGTGTACATTATAACATGTGTAAATTATGTAGTATAATGTATGACATAATTTATATAATAGAACAAACAATTTTTTTCAAAATCTTAATTTTTAATTATTGTGTTCTAACTAATAATACTGAAATATTAATAACAATAATAAACATACCAATTGATAAAGTCTCTTTGGTTATTTTAGTTGATTCTTTCGTTGATCGAGTTTTCTTTTTAACTTCTAAAAAGAAAACAAGAAGCATAATATTACCAAATAAAGAAAGATTAATTTAACAAAATAATATGATAAATATGTTGGTATTGTGATAACTGGTATTAATTTTTAATTTACCATTGACTAATATGTTTACGGGCTCGCTAATTTCAGCTGTATCGGTTATCGTATCATCTGTAGTAATTTGAGATGCGTGTTCAAAATCCCAGGTGCTAGTTTGAAAATCTTCTGGCATCAAGTAGGTTATGATCTCTTCWAGTGTGCTATGTTTCAACTCAATCATTGTCATGAATGCCTTAAACACTTCGTTGACAGTTTCAGGTATTGTCGATTCTTTCGTGAAGACATCAGCAACCAAAGATGTATACCCTTCACGTTCGATAAGATGCACCATAGCTGACTGAGCCGGCGCAGTCCTCAATGCAGGAAACTGGCCTGACGTGTACTCTTCAATCACCTAGCACAGAAACATACGAAAAAATTGAATAAATTAAAGTAGAAGTTAAAATCATAAATGACAGTTTAATGTAAATTTTATGTATTAAAACATCGAGATAAAAATAGTATGAAAACGTCCTTAGAATAACATTGTAATCAGGAAGATAATTTAGAATACTTAAGAGGACTCTACACCCGCATACGTTGTCTTCGCCTTACAAACGCATAACATAGCAAATTGTATACTCAGCAGATCACGTATAGCTCTGTTACTATAAAATTTAGTGTAAATTGACCTCTATCAAAAATTAAAGGTAACATTATTATCGAGGGCATTTTGTAGGCTTTTTATTATATTTTAATTTTAAAGTGAGTTATGTGTATTTTAAAATTATAAATTGTTTGTATATCTTAAAATACACATAACTCACTTTAAAATTAAAATATAATAAAAAGCCTACGTTATGTCTTCGATAATAATGTTACCTTTAATTTTTGTAAGAGGTCCATTTACTCTAAATTTTAAACTAACGGAGCTAAACATGATCTGCTGAGCATAAAATTCGCTATGTTACGTACTTGTAAGACGGAGACAACATATGCGGGTGTAGCGTCCTCTTAAAATAATTTTATTGCTAATTTCATACAAAATCTAATTTATCAATAGACATAAAATACACTTATCAAGTCAAAAGTCGCTGTATGTAATTTCAAAAATAAGTAATTCGTCGTGATATCACGTAACTTATAAAAAACTTAATTTACCTAGGTAATTTAATTATATTATATTATATYATTATATCAATTCAACTTTAAACATAGTTTAAATTTTWATTGATGATCCATACCTACAACTTGTATGACTGACATTGCGATTTGCGATTACCTGTTCCGTGGATATTCCGTGTCGGGTGAGTATATCAATAGTGGCCAATTCTCGTAAGGGCCACTCAGCTGGTCCAAACTCGGCCAATTCAACTTGATCCAATACTTGTTCAACTTCATTGACCACTGATGGCTCCTTGACTTTAAGTGCTGTGAACAGTGCTGGTTCTTCGATTAGTTTTGGGCGAACAAATTCGGATCCACGCACTTCCTTGACCGTCTCATCCGAAAATGTTTCTGACGTGGACAATGGTTCGTGTTCTGGTAACGATGRTTTCTCTTCTACCTGCAAACACGACACTTGATACATTATTATTGTAAAGTTTTTGTAATTATAGTCTTATATTAATATTACATCGCTTAAAAAAACGAAAATTATGGCACATACAAATGAGTGAAAATTAATGTATTTATGGTTGCATTTTATATAGCACTCATTTTGACAATGTTGAGCTTAAAGCCACGGTTCCAAATCAAACATCTTATACATTTTTAACTACTAAATAATTCGCAAATTTATGATTTTTAATTATGTGGTCAAAATTTTAACTTAAAATGCTTATAAAAAAAACTTTCGATGTATATATAACGTCTACTAATTAAATTAATAAAACTTATGAGAAAGCTTGTATTCTTTTTCAAAATGTTTTGATCGAGCAAAAATTATTTATGAATAATGATTGGAAAATAATTTCTCTAGACTAGAAATAACTCTAAAATCTAGAGTCAAAATTTAAAATGTTATAATGTGTGATTATTTTTGGTGAAAATTTTAAGTATTAATGGTTACTAGTTATTGAATAATACAAAAACAAAATCAATTTTACCAAAAAATGATTTCGTATTAAAATTCCAATTATTTCTTGATTTTTTTATATTTTGTCGTGTTTTTGAAAACTACCTACTGAGAATAATTTACTTTTATAACTCTAAAATATCAACCRAATTAAAAGTAAATTACGATCTAGTTTATGTTAGAAACCTTGTAATTTCAAATAATAATAAAGTTTTTTAAAAATATTTTATAAGAACATTTTTAAATAAATACATGTTAAAATCTAATTATTTTTTTTATTGTACTTATTTTAATAATATGTGATGTATAAACTATAATTTACTATAATTTACCTAACGAAAATATTGATATTTAAAAAAATTGTAAAAAATCAGCCATTTGACTTAAATAAGTGTTTTTACCATATAAATTTTTCTGAAAATCAAATTTACAAATTGGCTATATTAAATATTTCGAGAAAAAAAATGTATCAATTTTTAAGTTTTTTTATTTTGAGTATTAAAAAATAAAAAATGTAGCGCAAGTGTCTATGTATTATATTTAAAAGAAATTTTTAAAAAATATTGATTAGAACAAAAGTTATTTAATTTGTCAGAATGTCAGATCTCTTTGGGACACCCTGTATATATGTATTATAATTATAATTATTATGACACCAGTAATAAAATTATACAGCTAGTATAAATATATACTTAATGTTGCTTTGTTTAGTGGCCATAAGAGTAAATTTTACATAWATAAAATTAAGCTTCTTTAAAAAATATCAGCCTATAACATGAAGAATATTGAATGATTAAAATAATTGATTATGATAAAAACTAAATTCTGTAATATCGTAATAAATCACATTTAATATAATAATATATTAAAAATAGTATAATTTATTAGTTAATAGGTACTTACTCGTATTTGATTCTGAAATTAACAGTATAAAAATTGTATTGATTCAAAAAATTTATAATTACCATTTTAGAAGTAGTAATACGAAGCGTTTCTTTTGTTTCCGTTTCATTGTATGATCTATAATAATATTATATATTAAGAATCGTAGGTATTTCATGTGCTGCATCGTTTAATACTTACTCAGATTCTTTTTTTTGTTTCTTTTTCATAGCCTTCTTTTTAGTCTTTTTTATCTTCTTCACTTCTTGCACTTCTTGCACTTCCACTTCATCTTCGGTGGCTGTGAATGTTTCGTCCCTATGTTCTAAATTGTATAATAAATTAATTTCAGTTAATTTATTATTAAATATTTTTCTTTTCTTTTTTTTTTTTAATCATTATTAGTAATAATATATTACTTTTAACATAAAGTTTTGATTTATTTTTAGCTTCTCCTAAATTGCTGTTTGCTTTGCAAACATAAACACCTTCATCTTCTTTTGTTACTCTTTTGATAGTCAATGTAGTTTTTGTGTCAGTGATTTTAACCTGAATATTCGATGAGTTCCTGACAATTTTATCATCATGATACCATATAATCACTAAAATCAAAAAAAGTTGTATGAATTTATCTTATATATTATGACAATATTATGTAATCAAACCAGGAGTAGGATTTCCTGAAAATTGACATTCAAACACAACAGTTTCATTTTCAACAGCTCGCTCATCTTTTAACTCGTTTACAAAGCTTGGTACACTTTGGAAAGCTGTAACAGTAATAATTCAAATAAATAATACAAATTATAGAATTTTTTAATATTTTTAAATTAAAAATTAAATATTTTAATTTTATAAATTGAAATAATTTCTGTTGGATTTAAATTTTTGATAGAACTTACCATTTTGTCGTAGATTAATTTGGAATAAAAAAAAAAAAAACAGACAACGACACTAGGATGAGCTTTTTTTTTTGTCATAAAAAAAACAAATTAATTTAGCCAAAAAATGGTGATAGTTGTGTTTCTAAAAGTTCAAAATGTTCTGTTACTAAAAATTAGGCATAAAAATTTTGATTTTTCATCTTTTAATTTTAAAGTAGCATAATAATATCATGAAATCATTGATTTTTGAAAGTCAATCAATACCTACATACAAAAAATATGTTTAAATTAAAAATTTTATCTCAATTAAAAATGGAGATTAAGATAATCAGTCTGCTATACAGTAGGTGTTAAGTGTAGTCACTAATCAAGTCTCTGAAGTATATTTACAAAAAACGACTCTGAGCGAAAACCGTCTCTCAGTCTATACTAAGTTTCTATTTTGTCAACATTTGCACTTCAAATGTTTATAAAAATAAAATCGTGTACTCTTAATGCTTTTAGGCTTAAGCCTTAAGAATAATTTATGAGAAACCTTTAATCTTATTTTAATGTTTGGACAGAAAACAAATTGATATAATAGAGAACTATAAAATTGAAGATCTGAAGTACCTAATAACAGTTCAATAAGTCAAATATTTTTAAATTCATATACCATGTAAATGAAATATTGAAAGTCACATTTTATAGAGATTATAAATATCCGCAGTTATTTTATTTAAGTTAACCCGAAAAAAAAAACAAAATTGATTTGGTTTAGCGTAAAGAAYTTTGTGGATGATTAATATTTTTTTCATGATTATTTTGGGAAATACTGTAAATATTTTACCTTTGACATTCTAAAATATCAACTAAATCCAATTGTCTACCAGGAATTAATCTCAAACTATTTCATCAACTCATTTTTCTACTAGGTTTAAAAAGTGTATTTAGACACAAAAAAACTCTCATCGTTGAAGWACCAAAACATTCATAACTCATTTCAGAATCTAAAATTGTATAATGATGTTATACTTATCTAATCTTAATTACAAATGGTATTCTATTTCCAATTGAGTTAAGTAGGCTCAAGAATTTATTATACGACTATATATTATTATTTTTTTTTTTATGCTAAATAGTTTACAATTTAAATACATAAAAAAATGAAAAATGAAGTCCACTTAATCTTACCTGAGAATTACACTGTAAGGTGTAAGTACTAAAATATATTTTGAGTTTTAAAAAAGTTAAGAAATTGAATAACTATATTCTTTATTTTTAAATGTTTGATGGTTTACTATATTGTACTATAATGGTAAACTTAACATCTTATAAGAGTTATATCTACATACGATCACTATAGATTTTAATAAATGTGTTCAACTACATATGTGTTTAACATAATGCCTTTGTTTTTGCTAGATAATTCTTAGTACTATTAGTATACCATATACATCACTAATATTATAAAAAACATCATTTTGATCAACTAAAATTCATTCCAACTGAATTATGCCCAAACTCGTCTGATGCTACCTATTCCAAATGTTAGGTAAGAGAATTGGAATCAATATTTCGATATTTCAAACATATGCTCAACATGGGAAAATTGAAAGGCTGTCATACCAGCCGTATACTGATTGATGTGCCAATACTCAATTATAAAATGACATTAAATTTCTGCCTACCATTTTTTATTTTTACTATTTTCAGTATAATTTTTTGAGTAATATTGAAATATCAAATTAGGGAAAGAAAAACTTAGGTAGACTTTGCGACATATTCAAACAGGTATTTAGAATTCATATTACTTTACTTCAAACGATAAGTATCTTATAACACGTGTTAGATGGAAATACGGAAATCTATCGATTTTACTCACCTGAAATTTAAAAGCCATTTATTTACAAGTAAATTTATTTATTGTAAAATGATTCTTGACTATATTTTATTAATTATTGTTGTTGATTTTTCCTAAAAATATAGTGACATACTAACATGGTGTTTTGGATAGACAATTTACCAGAGCAACAACGGTTGAGTATAAAAATTAAAAATATCAACAAATTATTAGTCGGGAAATTATTAAGCTAAATATTATGGTATTAAAAATATAATAAAATTAGTTATCAAAAATGTATACATTTATTACACACATAATTAAACTATCTCTAACTGTACTGTCACCTAATATTTCATATTTATCATGAGTTTTTTCTAATGTATTTCTAACCTATATTCGAAATCGATTTCAGTGATTAAAGTGTAAATATTTTTTTTTACTTTTTATAATAGGTAATTAATAATACATACTTAAAAGTTATTTATTTATAATTTTTGCCAATTTTACATCAAAATATTTTTTACCTAGAAATTTCAACTAAAACGTTTTACTGTGACTAGTGGCTAATTTTATCGAATACCATTCAGAGAACATTTTATACCCATTACCCAGATGTGCTGTCTCCGTCTAACACACTATGACATATCAAATTTCCATTCACTAGTTTCAAATTGATGCTGTTAGTTTTGATATTATAGTTAATTGATATATTATGAAATTTTTAGGTAAGAATATTATCTATATAATCTTGTTGGTTTTWTTCTAAAACGTAGACAACCCATGCGAGTACGACGTCCGTCCTCTTGAGGATTAATTAATGTACTCGTTTTCGACGAAATAGTATTATAATTTACATAAGTTAATAATGCTCTAAYGAGGTTATATTTTTCTATATAAAAGCGTTTTTATAGATTGAAGTTGGGAACACAACAAACATTTATTTGGAATAGAGTTTTGAATCTTTAATTAATTGGATCGAAAATCAACATTTAAGTACTTTCAGGATACAACAAAAACAAAGTTTAAAAAAACAACACAAGCACAAAAAGTAAAACTAATATTATTTCATACAGTTATAAGCAAACAAAATAAAATAAAAAAACACAAAAACATTAAGAAAAACGTATTAATTCACAGCGTTTCGTTTCGTCTGGATTTTGAAATAGATAAATATCAAAAGTTAACGATGAAATCAATATGGATAATATAAAATAATTACCTATCTCAAGTATTACAAAAATACACTGTCAATTCATCCTTGATCGATCTTTCTAGATTATCGATAAATAAGTAAATCAATGCCAGCGTATTTCGACAAAATGAAACCTTGCAATTATAATTAGTTAACTGACTCACATAAACTACAACAAACGTCACGAAAAGACGTATACGAACCGTTTCTGCGGCGACAATAACAAAAATAATCGTTAATTATAACATAATAAAATATCTTGAATTTCAGTTATTTTCTCGGTTTTTCGTCAACAAACGCTGCGTGTAGACCACCGTCAGTGGACATGCACTGACTCTCCAGTAACAAGAACTCCTGGAGCTCGTCTTGGCTATCAGCTGTATGCAGCTGGAAGAACATTTCAGGGTCAATTTCACGGGGTTCTAGTGGGTGGCCAGCATACTTGCGGCGGTTATACGTAGCCACCGATTCGTCAGCATGCGTCCTAGGATAAGTCTGGCTGCGTCCAGTCGGGTCTTCTGTATCCGCCGCTGAAGAGGACGATACCTCCTGGCAGGATAGGGACCGAACCCGATCCGAGCCACCGTCCGAAGAAGTGGGTTCACTGTGCTCTTGTATTGGGCTCAAGTAAAATGTGCTGTTGACGTCATAATCAGCAAAGTACGTACCGTATCGGACGACCGTCTCGTCTCCGTCGTTTTCATCGACCCGGGTTTCGGGACTGTACACACAACAAGCATCAAAACTATCAGCAGTGCATTTACCTTGTAATTGTTCCCGCAATTCTTCCATCTGAGTAACCCACGACGGCTTTCTGTAGGCTTTCGTCCCTTTGATACCTAAAGAACATGGATACATAAATAAATTTGTTTTTATGAACAATACTGAATTATAAGAGCATTTGGAGGGCGTCACTTCATGACGAAGTATGTATATATTGTTTGGGTGTGTGTGTTTATGTGTGAGTGTRCAAGATAATTAATAATAAATTAATCGATAGGAAAGTTGGCGAAGAGAACGTCGGTTGAAACTGAAAAACAAAACAATCTATTTATATAAGAGTATACACATGTTCAAAGAACATATCTAATCTTCAAAAAACTGTGCCTAKAAATATCCAAAATTACCTGTGATTATTAATGTACTAGTTGTAGCTGTCCCGTACTCATTCGTTGCCACACAAGTTATTTCCCGAACGGTCTCAGTTGGCTTTTTCTTAACAGTCAACACAGATACTCCTTCGTCCTTTTCTTCAATTTCAAACTCCTCACTGGGAGTTATTTCTATGCCGTTTTCGTACCAATGGGTCTTGGGCGTCGGTGTACCTTTTACTCTTACGACGAGACGTATTAAAGTTTCCTCTACTTCCTCTTCCTCCTCCCAWATTGTTTCGGTTTGCAATTCCGTTTCGAAATATGGCGCTTTCCCGACCACCAGCTTTTCTGACTCGATCGTCTCTTCCTTATCATCTTCGTCTACAGATAACGTAATATTTGAAAAATGTACTTTGTAAATTGCAGTTTTTAACGCTTACGTTAATTCTAATGTCAGTTGTACTATTGAATTATTTTACCTTCGATCAATAATGTAGTAGATGTTTTCGCTTCTCCGCGATTATTAGTAACTACAACTTCATAATGCCCAGTGGTCTTCTTGGTAATCTTTTTAATAATGATCACGGTCGTAGTTTCCGTTATAGTTAAGGTACGCCCGAATGTTTTCTTATCAGTTATGTCCTTACCGTTATGGAACCACCGAACTTTTAACTCGGGAGTACCTCTGAAATGCACGTCTAACGTCACGCACGAATCTTTTTTGGCTATAATAGGTTGCAAAGGTTTCGTTATAGATGGCGCCTCCTCTAACGTTTCAGGTATTTCTTCTACGAATTCGTCTGTGTAAAACAAAATATATTATAATATATTAGGTAGCTCGTATTGTTCAAAAGAAATTAATTTTGATAAAATTAATCGTTTGTACAAATCGATTTAGTTATATAAGAAGTTAAGGTTTATTTTAATAACTTAAAAATGACATTAAAAATATATTTGCAATAACTAATAAGTTTAAATATGGTATCATCATTTTTGAGATATTGTATTAAAATAAATAGCCTGAATATTATGTTCAAAATAAATAGAAAATATACCAAGTGTAACATTAACATTAAAGTGAATCACAATTTCCATAAACTGTAATTTAAATTATAATCAAGTGGATTCATCAGTAGCGGCTAAATGCCAAGGGAGAAGGGAATA